CCGGCAGATGCTCAACGGGTGCGCATGCGCGACTCGGGAGCCCGAGGGGCCGGGGGCGTGGTCGGACCCCAGGGAGCCGGCTCCGAACGCGGGCCGGCCCGGGGGCGGGGTGAGAGCTGACTGGGCGTGGCCAGCCGCCAGAGGCGTGGGATCCCGAGGCCGGCCCCGCCCCGGGGTGGACAACGCCGAGGCGTGAAGGCAGCGCCCTGGCAGGACTGCAGACCTCTTCGGGGTCGTCAGGCGCTGGGGCAGGGGCCGGGACCCTCCATGGGTGCAGGCAGGCCCTTCGGTTACGGCCGGCCCCTGCCGACACTCAGGTGCGCGCAGGCTGGGTCCAGGCATCTGGCGTCGGTGCAAAGTCGGTGCCAGGGTAGGACGGAGCTCCTTGGGGGGCGGAGTCAAGAACTGGGGCTGGAGTCATGATCCGGACCACGGGAGAGTTGACGCGGGTTCTGAAGGCGGGGCCACATTGGGGACGCAGTCAGAGCTCGAGGGTCAATGTTGGTTGAGTATCGTCCAGGGCTCGGGGCGGCCCCATGTGGACGGTGGAATCAGATCGTGGGGGCAGAGGCAAGGGGAGGGAAAGGCCTGCCCTGGGGCCAATCACTTGGGCCCGGTCCTCTCCTGGGAGGAGCCAGGACTACGGGCGGAAATTGCCCCGGGGTGGAGTCAGTGGGGCCTGGTCATTCCCTAAAGGCGGGGCCAACACTGGGGGTGGGGCCTTCCTCGGGCGGGGTCGGTCAGACCTGGCCCTTGGGGTTGTCAGTCGAGCCTGGTTATTAACCTCAAGGCGGGCCCGAACCTGGTGCGGGACGTTCCCTGGGCTGGAGTCAGTCAGGTCTGGCCTTCGCCGGGGGTGGAGCCAAGACTAGGGGCGGGGCTCCTCCGCGGGCGAAGTCCGTCGGGCCGAGCCCTCCCTGAGGGTGGAGCCAAGACTGGGGGCGGGGCCATCCCTGGGGCTGAATCTTTCAGGCTTGGCCCTCCTGGGGCGGAGCCGGAACTAGGGGCGGGGCTCTTCCTGCGCTGGAGGCGGTCAGGTGTGCCCCGTCTGGGGGGGTGGAGCCAGGACAGGGGGCGGGGCCTTCCCTTGGTGGGCGTGGAGCCAAGAGTAGGGACAGGACTCTCACAGGTGGAGTCCGTAAGGCCCGGCCCTCTCGGGGGCGGGGCCAGGACGGGGGGCGGGGCCATCCCTGGGGCGGAGTCATCCAGGCTTGGCCCTCCCGGGGGCGGAGCCAGGGCTAGGGGCGGGGCTCTTCCGGGGCTGGAGTCAGTCAGGTGTGCCCCTCCCTGGGGGCGGAGCCAAGAGTAGGGACAGGACTCTCACAGGTGGAGTCCGTAAGGCCCGGCCCTCTCGGGGGCGGGGCCAGGACGGGGGGCGGGGCCATCCTGGGGCGGAGTCATCCAGGCTTGGCCCTCCCGGGGGCGGAGCCAGGGCTAGGGGCGGGGCTCTTCCGGGGCTGGAGTCAGTCAGGTGTGCCCCTCCCTGGGGGCGGAGCCAAGACTAGGGACCAGGCTCTCAAGGGCGGAGTCCATCAGGCCCTCCCTGAGGGTGGAGCCAGGACCGGGGGCGGGGCCTTGCCTGGGGTGGAGCCAGGACCGGGGGCGGGGCCTTGCCTGGGGTGGAGTCAGTCGGGCCCGGCCCTCCCAGGGGCGGGGCCAGGGCTAGGGGCGGGGCCTTTCCCCGACGGTGGGTGGGAGCCGGCTCACAGGCACCCACTCGCCCACTGCCTGTGCAGGACGCACGTGGTCCGGCACTACAAGGTGAAGCGGGAGGGCCCCAAGTACGTGATCGACGTCGAGGAGCCGGTAAGCGCTGGGCGGGGTCCCCACAAGTGCACTGGCGGGGTCCTCGCCGCTTCTCCGGCAGCTCTGCCCAGCCCCCCATCTGCCCTAGTTCTCCTGCGCCTCGCTGGACGCGGTGGTCAACTACTTCGTGTCACACACCAAAAAGGCGCTGATGCCCTTCCTGCTGGACGAGGATTACGAGAAGGTGCTAGGTGGGTGCTGCCGCGGGGAGCTCAGGGGTCCGGGCCGTGCCGCTCACCCCCTCGCGCGGACGGGGATACCCCTGGGCCAGCCCCTGGCCGCGGCGCCTCCTCCAGGCCGCCCTCTCTGTTCCAGGCTACGTGGAAGCGGATAAAGAGAACGGCGAGAGTGTGTGGGTGGCGCCCTCCGCCAAGGGCCCAGGTGACGCCCCCTCCCCGAGGGCAGAGGAGGGAGGGACCATGACCCAATCCAGCCACACCCCCTGGGTGGGCGCAGTGGCGGGCCCAGTGTTCCTGTTCTTGTATCCAGAATGGCAGGGACAGAAATGACCCAGACCCTGCCTCGAGAGACTCCAAATTTGGGGTGGGAGTGCGGTGGAGGGTCTAGACATTCTCATTCGTGTGGGGTCAAACCTGGGGTGGAGGAAAAACCTGGGTGGGGAGCCTTCTGGGGGGGAAGAGGGGACAGAGCAGGGGAAGGCTTCTTGGAGGTGGGGGTGTTTCCTGGAGGTCCCAAGGATTTTTTTTTTTTTTTTTTTGAGTTGG